TATCATTTATATAAAAGATTTAATATAAAAAAAGTGACGCCAAGTTATAATCACATTACCTCGAAAGTTCAATGTACAATTGCTTTTAAAAAATGTAAATTAATCAATGATTCGTATTTTTGTAGTGAAATCTTCTTATTCTAAAACACAAGTGATAGTAGCTTTCTCAAAATTATGATATCAAAATTGCGTTTAACCTAATTTAACTCAAATGATATGTATCTAACATAAGTGGTAGTAGCTTTCATTCTAACTGAGATTTGTATATGTTTTTACTACATTATGTTTATCCTTTGTTGCGCTTTTATTATGTTATATGTATGTATAAATCAAGAATAGATATAAGAAATATTAATCTGAAGGTTTTTAGATGTTCAAGATATTCAGTATAATGAAAATTTTTTACTCGAATAATTAGAAGTTTGTGCCGATACGTTGGAGAAAGTCGAGCATTTCGAATTGCTTTGGCATTAATATAATATCATTATTAATACTACTATAAATATCGCCTAAAAGTTGACTTATTTATTAACTAATAGTCTACTTAATGTTGATTAAAAGTCGACATAATCATCATAACCTAATCAATGACTTATAATATTGACTGAAAGTCGACTTATTGTCGGCCAAAAGTCAACTTAGTCGTCATAAAAAGTGTCGGCTTGTCATAAAATCGATCTTATAGCCGATTGATACGGCTGACTTATGGTCGACTTGATCTATAAATTTCTTACTGATCATTTTAATCCAGCAGGTGTTGACATCAAGCTGATTCGTAAAAAAATCAAGAAAAAATTATGTTTCTTTTAATTTTGTTCTGCAACTTTTAATACATGCAAATTAATAGTTATTGAATAATGAAAAAAAAAATCGCTACGTCACGATGATATAATGTGATAATCAATGGTAGAAGTGGGAAATTAGTACTAAAAAGAAAATGGCAAAATAATGTATACCTTATATTCCATATATGTTAATATATTCTCTCTATATATTAATTTTAATCCATATATTTTAATTTTTTTACTTTTCTGTATATTTTAATATCTATCAGGTAACATTACATTAATATTTTAGATATCAAATTATAAATTATAATTTTATTTCAAAATAATTGTTATAATAATATGTATAAATAAAAAAGTGGCAATATTTTTATTTTAAAAACATATTAAACGTTTTCTCAATAAAAATATTATTAATATTGTTTTAATACAAATATTAAACATAATAACTCTATGTATAAATATATGTAGTTAATTATTATTATTTTATTATGATATTAAACAATAATTTATTATAATAATATTAAACAATATATAATGTTCATTACAAATGCTGCAATACATAAAATTTTAAAAGTGAACATTGATTTTTCTTTCATAAAGTATCAGTAATCGGATGAATCAGAAGATGAATGTGGGAAAACCGCTTGAAAGATCTATACCAATTGCGTTCTTTATCGCTTATCACATATATGTGTGCACTCGTCACATACGTTCGCACCGAAAAGGTTTAAAGGTCAACAAATCATAAGGATTAGTGTGGATTATCCAAATAGTAACGGGCGAAGCTGTGTCATACATCATATATTGGACCTATATATCACATAAACTTTTTTATGAAGAACCGAGAAATTCGTATAGAACTCACTCGAACGTGAAATCCGAAAAGACGAATTGATTTACAAAAAATAGGAAAAAAATAGGAAAAAAAGGAAATAAAATCATGTGCGAAAAATGTCAAGAAATCTAAAGGTAGAAATATATAACAAAAATATAATTAAAATATAATTAGATGTTTCCATTATTTTTGCAATCACATTATAATAAAAAATTCACTGATCATTACAGGAATACCACGCGCGAATGGGTGGAGCGGACAGGTGGAGCGCATGAATCGAGTTATCCTCGCAATGCTGATAAAATTATCAATGCCCAAGCCAGAGGACTAGTATAAGCATTGACAAGCTACAGCAACATCAATTCGTCATTCTATCGAAGTATCAGACATCTTTCGAGTTGCTAATGGGACGAAGTATGCGACTCAAGAATGATCTGGAGCTATGCGATTACCCTACAGAAAGAATGCTACAAAATTTTTGAGCAAAAAAGATCGGAACTGCGAAACAAGACCAAAGAAAACATTGCGCAAATCCAAGAAGAGAATCGAAAAACTTACAACCGTAAACGTAAACTCGCTGCGAAGTATCAAATCGAAGATGTGATGGCCGACGAACACAACTTGACTCCAAGGCTGAAAATACATTCAAAGTTTCTAGGACCTTATAAGATTGTAACGATTTTGCGAAATGACCGTTATATAATGGAGAAACTAGGCGAGCACGAAGGACTGAAGCGCACTAGCACTTCGGCAGATCACATCAAACCTTGGTCATATCGCGGCTGGGATCCGGATATTGATCTATCGATCACCGAGGATGATGACTCAAACGCTGAGGATTCTGTTGACAACCCTAACGTTGAGGACAAAGATGGTGGATTCGACATCGAGGATGATGTCAATCTCAAAACGGCCGATGTGGGAACATTGGTACTTCTGAGTATGGGGACGTTGGTGACCCTGGCATGACTGAACAGGGGTGCGAAAAAAAAACACACACACTGAATGGCGGGAATGCGAACAAGTTGTGTCGTATCATTAGTGAAAGCTCACGCTTTACGTTTCTTTCGTTTTCTTTCAACAGTGACATTCCCTGCATATCGTATCTCATCCGCGTTAGTTAATTCCAC